AACCGCTCCAGCGAAAGCTGTAGATCACGATCTGATGAAGCCAATAAGACCACATCATCTGCAAAAAGCAGAGACGCAATCCTAAGGCCACCAAAACGGATCCTCTCAACGCCTTGGCTACGCCTAGAAATTCTGTCCATAAAAGTTATGAACAGAGGGCCCGGTACCCCATACTCCCAGATTACCCCCCACAGGGTTCCCCGAGAGACGTGGTCGAACGCCTTCTCCAAGTCCACAAAGCACATGTAGACCGGTTGGGCAAACTCCCACGCACCCTCCATGACCCTGCTAAGAGTGTAGAGCTGGTCCAGTGTTCCACGGCCAGGACAAAAACCGCACTGCTCCTCCTGAATCCGAGGTTCAACTATCTGACGGACCCTCCTTTCCGAAACCCCCGAATAGACCTTACCAGGGACGCTTAAGAGCACGATTCCCCTGTAGTTGGAACACACTCTATGGTCACCCTTTTTGAATAGGGGGACCACCACCCCAGTCTTCCAATCCAAGGGAACTTTCCCCGATGTCCACGCAATATTGCAGAGTCGCGTAAGCCAACACAACCCTACAACATCCAGAGCCTTAAGGAACTCCGGGCGAATCTCATCCACCCCTGGGGCCCTGCCACCGAGGAGCTTTTTAACCACCTCGGTGACCTCAGCACCAGAGATTGGAGGGCCCGACCCAGAGTCCCCAGGTTCCACTTCCTCAGTGGAAGACGTGCCAGTGGGATTGAGGAGGTCTTCAAAGTATTCTGCCCACTGGCCCACAACATCCCGAGTTGAGGTCAGCAGCACACCACTCCAACTATAAACAGTATTGGTGGCATACCGCTTTCCCCCCCTGAGACGCCGGATGGTGGACCAGAATCGCCTCGAAGCCGTGCGGAAGTCATTCTCCATGGCCTCTCCAAACTCCTCCCATGCTCGAGTTTTTGCCTCAGCGACCACCCGAGCTGCATGTCGCTTGGACTGCCGGTACCCATCAGCTGCTTCCTGGGTCGCACAGGCCAAAAAGGCCCGATAGGACTCCTTCTTCAGCCTGACAGCATCCCTCACCGACGGTGTCCACCATCGAGTTCAAGGGTTGCCACCGCGACAGGCACCGACAACCTTGCGGCCGCAGCTTCGGTGAGCTGCCTCGACAAAAGAGGCACGAAACATGGTCCACTCAGTTTCTATGTCCCCCACCTCCCCCGGAACATGTTCGAAGTTCTCCCTGAGGTGGGAGTTAAAACTCCGTCTCACGGGAGACTCTGCCAGACGTTCCCAGCAAACCCTCACAACACGTTTGGTTCTGCCAGGTCTGACCAGCATCCTCCCCCACCATCGTAGCCAACTCACCACCAGGTAGTGATCAGTGGACAGCTCTGCCCCTCTCTTCACCCGAGTGTCCAAGACATGTGGCCGCAGATCAGATGAGACGATGACAAAGTCGATCATCGAACTGCGGCCTAGGGTGTCCTGGTGCCAAGAGCACATATGGACACCCTTATGCTTGAACAAGGTGTTTGTTATTGACAATCCATGACAAGCACAGAAGTCCAACAACAGAACACCACTCGGGTTCAGATCAGTGGGGCTGTTCCTCCCAACCACACCCCTCCAGGTCTCACTGTCATTGCCCACACGAACATTGAAGTCCCCCAGCAGAACAAGTCCCCAGGAGGTTCACTTTCCAGTTCCCCCTCCAAGGACTCCAAAAAGGGTGGATAATCTGAACTGCCGTTTGGTGCATAAGCACAAACGACAGTCAGAACCCGTCCCCCCACACATAGGTGGAGTGAGGCCACCCTCTCATTCACTGGGGTGAACCCCAACACATAGGCACCAAGTTGGTGGGGCAATAAGTATGCCCACTCCTGCTCGGCGCCTCTCACGAGGGGCAACTCCAGAGTGGAAGAGTGTCCAGCCCCTCTCAAGGAAACTGGTTCCAGAGCCATGCGTAGAGGTGAGTCCGACTATGTCTAGCTGGAACCTCTCAGCCTCATACACCAGCTCAGGCTCCTTCCCCACCAGTGAGGTGACATTCCACGTCCCAATAGCCAGCTTCTGTAGCCAAGGATCAGACTGCCAGGGTCCCCGCCCTCGGCCACCACCCATCCCACATTGCACCCGACCCCTTTGGCCCCTCCCACAGATGGTGAGCCCATGGGAAGGGGGAGCCACGTCTCCTCTTCGGGCTGTGCCCGGCCGAGCTCTATGGGTAAAAGCCCGGCCACCAGGCGCTCGCCCGCGTGCCCCACCTCCAGGCCTGGCTCCAGAGTGGGACCCCGGTGACCCACGTCCGGGCAAGGGAACATTAAGTCCATTTGTTTTTCTCAT